GGGAAAAAAAAAAAAAAAAAAAAAAAGAAAGAAAAAAAGAAAAAAGAAGCATCACATAAAATAACCTGTGTATTTCATTAAAGTGATTATTTACCACGATATTAATAATATAGAGATCTTTTTACTTTTTTTTTTCTTTTCTTTTTGGTACCAGAGATAGAACTCAGGAGGCAGGCGGTGGCACCACTGAGGTAAATCCCTGATGGAGTTTTCTACTTTTGGAGAGCACACTATGAAGATACTTCTTTGTAGCCTTATTATCAGCAATATATTTCTTCAAAATATATGGTAAGAGCTCAACTATAAATGTGCATTAGGTTTTATATAAAATACTTTTGTAAATATAGGTCTAATATTTTCTCATTTATTAATTTTATTTTTCACTTTATTTATAATTTATTAACTTTTGTTAATATTAAATAAATGTTTATATTATATATCTATTTTTTTAAACCATGTTAATTTGTTTTTCAAAAGGTGATGTCCATCTTTCTTGTCTCTTTAGCTATTTGTCAATTCATCTAAATTTATGAGATTACAAAATTTTAGATGCAATAGAGATAAAAGATGGTAAACTCATCCTCACTTTTGTGGTATCTTTAGTTTTCTTCTATCCTCAAATCTATTCAAAGCAGATATGTGAGGAAAAGAACAAATTTGCATCGTCAGAGTTTGGAATTAACATGAAGCTTAGGTAAGCATCTTTTTACTAAGTCACATGAAGATGATATTTGAGTTTCTGTACAAGAATAAAATGATTCATACCCAACAGAACAATAGGAGCTATTTTCAAATTATTAATGAAGTAAATAATATAATAACAAAAATGAATGATTTTTCAGACTGTGCCTTGTACATGGCATCCAGGCTGAGGGGTTGCACAACTGTACAAGCCATGTCCCTGGCCCAAGTTGGATCTGCTAGAACAAAAGAAGACTTCTTTAATAATTTGCACAAAGGTATACCCAAAGAAGTCAAATATTTTCTAACCTGTACTAAGCCCTCATGTAAGCTATACTAAACTGCCATATAATCTATTTTTATAGTACTTCTTACCGAACATAATTAATTACATTGCTTTTCAGCTAACTCCCTCGCTGTTGTACTTCATATAAATATTGAGATAAACCTTCTAATTTGTGTGGCCACTGAAAAAAATCAAAATATAAAATATAGATAAATATAAATAAAAATTAAAAGCACCAATAATCTGATCACACAGAGATGCACAACCAGTGTGATAAACTTTAATCCTTGTTTGATTTACTCATTGTCCCCTGAACATCTGAACTGCCACCTATTCCCACTATTTGGTATATGCTCAAACAACTGAAAGATTTCTATAGTAATTATTTTTCTATAAAATTAAGGGCTGGGGATTTAGCTCAGTGGCACCATACGTGACTCTCAAGGAAAAGGTCCTGAGTTTGATCCCCAGTATAAAAAAAAAAGATTAATAAGCAAGTAGTAATGTATTTCATGGGCTTGATAATATTAGTTACATTTTTAGTCATTGTTATTGGTTATTATATGAACCTGATTTCTACAAATCAGCACCTATATTTGGATATAAATATGCATATAATATTCTACTACACAATTATTGAACAATTTTTCTGAAACAATAAAGAGGCTAGAAATCACTTCTAAAGACAAACAAGATAAAATAGTAAATTTGATGCTAAGGAGTAAAATAAATGTATATCAAGGACAAATAGAAATTATTTTAGATAACATCCTCACATTTATTTTCAATTTTACTATCTTTACTACAACACTACAATGTTGCTGTAATTAAGATTTAGATATATCTGGGGCTGGGGATTTAGCTCAGCGGTTTGGTGGCCAGACTTGCAAGCGCAAGGACCCGAGTTCGATCCCCAGTACCAAAAAAAAAAAAAAAAAAAAAAAAAGATTTAGATATATTTGCACTGTAAAGGTAAAATGTCATAAAAGTCCTAATGCATATCTTTCAAGTGTCTAATTCAATTGTATTCAAAGAGTTATCTTTTTCCATAAACTTAGTCATACAGCATTACATCATCTCCCATGGCTCAGATTATCCACAATTATAAAATGCTTTAACAAAAACTGTTATGAAATGGGTTCTAATATATACTCATATAACTACTTTTTCATTTTGGGTTAGTATGAACATACACAATATATCCTTATATTTCAATGAAACTGTTTTTGAAATATAGTAACAGGCTGGGCAAATGGTGTCTGCTGGGTATAATTTATTTACAATTTTAAATTAAGTTTATTGGAACATTTTAGGTATACAATAGTTACATTTGTCATTGGGCTCTTGTACTTTTACTTGACTTATCTTAGTTCTTATTTTTTCCCCATTCCCAGCCCTCCCTTCAGCCCCTCCAACCTTCCCTGTTTAAAAAGACATTGTTTCCACGTTTTTCCTTTTCTCATATTTTTAATTTCCCTTTTTACCTTTCCCCTACTCCTCCCACTTCATTTATTCTTTTAGACCTTTTCTTTCTATTACACAATATCAGTTATACATTTTATCCTTATTAAACTTTTACGGTTTCACACCAGAAAAATTATTCAGTATTTACACGTGTCTTACTAATTTCACTTAAGAGTATGACCTCATATGTACACCTATTTAGCTATAAATGTCTGTAGTTTCTCAATCTTTATGGCTGAATACTACTCCATTTTATGAAAAAAAAATATCTTTATCCAATCTTCAGTTGATGGGCAATTGGGCTGTTTCCAAGTTTTAGCTATTATGAACTGTGCTACCATAAACATGGGTGTGCATATATCACTGTGGTATGATTCTTTTAATTATTTTGGGAAGATACCCAGCAGAGGAATAGCTGGGTCAAATGGGACTTGTAATCCTAGTTGTTTTGAGGTATCTGCACATTGATTTCTACAGTGGTTGCACCAGTTTACACTCCCACCAACAATGGAGAAGGGTTCCTTTCTCTGCACAACCCCGCCAGCATTTGTTATTGGTTGATTTCTTGATAGCAGCCATTCTGAGGTGAGATGGAATCTCAGTATTGTTTTTATCTGCATCTCTCAATCGACCAGTGATGTTGAACATTGTTTCATATGTTTACTTGCTGCTTGTACTTCTTTGTCTGAGAAATGTCTATCCATTACAGATGCCCATTTTTGAATCGGTCTTTATATTTTGGGGCTTGATTTTTTTATATATTCTTTGATAAATAGACCTTTGTTTGAAGAACAGCTGGTAAAAACTTTTTCCCACATTGTGGGTTGTCTCTTAGGTCTGCTAAAGATTTATCTGGCAGTTCAGAAGCTTTTTAAAAAGATGAGATCCCAGTTGTTGATACTTTGTGCTAGTTCCTATGCTACTGAGGAGTTGTTCATAAAGTCTTTTCCTATGCCAATGTCTTCAAGAGTTCTACCTATCTTCCAGAAAGTTTAGTGTTTCTGTTTTAATATTTGTATCTTTAATCCACTTGGATTTTAGTATAGTGCATGGTGCAAGACCTGAGTCTAGTTTTAATCTTTGGCAAATTGAAATCCAGTTTTTCCAACATCATTTGTTAAAGAGGCTATCTTTTCTCCAGTGAGGATGGTTGGTACCTTTGTCAAAGATGAGGTAGCTGAGTATGTCTGAAGTTGTTTCTGCTTGTTCTGATCTATTCCACTGATCCTCAGGTCTGTTTCTTTGCCAGTACCATGCTGTTTTTATCTCAGTGGCTTTGTAGTATAGTTTCTAGTTGGAGATTGTGATACCCCTTGCCATGTCTCTGTTGCTTAGAATTGCTTTAGCTATTCTAAGTCTCTTTAGATTCCAAATGAATTTTTGGATTGTTTTACCTAGTTCTGTGAAATATACTGTTGGGATTTCAATAGGGATTGCATTGAATCTGTATAGCAGTTTTGGAAGTATGGCCATTTTCACTATATTGGTTTTTCCTACCAGGATCAAGGAATATCTTTAAATTTTCCTATAGGCTCTTTGATCTCTTTTTTCAGAGTGCTGCAGTTCTCAATGTAGACACGTTTTGCTTTCTTCATTAGACTGATTCCTAGATATTTCATCTTTGTGGAAGCTACTGTGGAAGGGATTGTTTCCCTAAATTCACTCTCAGTGAGTCTGTTATTTGTGTACAAGAATGCTATTGATTCTGAGTGTTTAACTTGTATCCAGCTACATTACTGGGAGTTTTTTAACTTCTTCCTTTCCTATCTTTATTGCTTTTATTTCTTTCTCTTGTCTAATTGCTGTGGCTAATGTTTCCAAAACTATATTGAACAGGAGTGGTGACAGTGGACATCCTTGTCTTGTTCTTGATTTTTGTGTAAAAGTTTTCAGTTTTTGAATATTTAGTATGATGTTGACTATTGATTTTTCATAGATAGCCTTTATCAAGTTGAGATAAGGACCACCTATTCCAAGAATTATAGAAAAACATGAATTAAATGTGAATTTTCCATTTTTTTCCTGAGCATTGGTTGTGGCCTCATGATTCCAGTTGAATATAGTCACAAGCTGCTCTGTGCCTAATGACTGACATGTTCTCTCATTTAAAAAAAAAAAAAAAACAATTTCTTAGGGCCAGGGATTTAGTTCAGTGGTTCTGCTGCCTGCCTCTAAAGCACAAAGTCCTGAGTTCAATCCATGGTGTGGTTTCTGGGTCCCCCAGGGTCACTCCCAAGTGTATGGCACAGCCAGTAGAAGTTAGAGAAGGCTGTGGAGCAGCATTCTGTATGCAGATTAGTGCCCAGAAAGCAACTCTGGTGCATGACACTGGAAGTACCCTCCTACCTTCACCCACCTGATTGGACAGTTCTAATTTATTACATTTTAATAAGGCCTCAGACAAATACCATATGGAAAGTGCACAGTGACATTCTACTGAAATGGTGGCTGAAAATGCCTTCAAGTGTGAAAGTTCTACTTAATCAATAGTATTGCTTCTGAATTAAGATGGGATAACAGTCCCACAGGCATAGGTATGAGGAAAATCTATGAAAAACATTATTCAATGACCGCATTAAAAACTGAGAGGGATACAATTTTATAAAATATAATTTTTTAAAAACATAGAAATACATACGAAATGCCTAAGTGTAATTGGATAAGTTCTTGAAAAATAAATCTCATTAAAGTACATAACTATACAACTATTCATAATAACTAGCATAATACTGACTAGTAAACTGATTCTCAGAAAATGTTTTTGGATTTGTGTTAAATATAAGGAATCTAATCAAAAGGGTGTAGTTTAAAAACGTCAAATGTTCATTTATGTATATTGTGTAAAAGTACAAAATAAAAATTATTTTAAAATAAGATAAATTATATTACTAGACAAAAACGTAGGATACAGTAATTTATACTAAACTACACTGAAATAATCAAATATAAAAAAAAACATTGCATTGAAATTAGACCTATGTATCTACATACTGAAATTCTACAGATGACTCCAGGCTCTCAGAGAAATAAATACCCAATGGTAGCATTATGACAGCTATTTGCACCAATATCATATATCATTTCAGTCACACTGTACAAGTGACAAAATGTGTTAGACATTACAATTTTCTAATCACATAGAATACAAAAAATCTATCTGTTGAGGAATGTAAGTATTCTGGGGAATTATTAATTCTCAGATGTTTCTAATTAAAATCTACACCAAACTTTTGAGGTGAAAACTCCAACAATTCCAACCATACATCATTCTATATTTAAACAATTTTAATATTTACTGTGAAATGGTTTCAAATTGTTATGAAAAGCCTTCAGTTCTCTTAATAAAATCTTAGGAATGAAGTGTTTTCCAGGAATATAAGACCAATTTAATAATGAGAAATCAATTACTTAAATATTTTCCTGAATAGTCATAATCCAAACTATCCTGTGAAATGTTTAAAAGAAGGGGTGATATATCTGAAATCTAGTGCCTACTGGAAAACTTCTGGCATACAGCAAGCAATGAATAAATAACTGACAAACTGATTTGAGTTTAAAAATATATCACAAGAAGGGGTCAGGGATGTAGTTCAGTGGTTCCACTGCCTGCCTTTCAAGCGCAAGGACCTGAGTTCGATCCCTGGTACCAAAAACAAAACAAAACAATCTCCCCCAAAACAAAAACAACAAGCAAAAAAAACCAAAACCATAAAAAACACAAGAAAAATCTTCTGCCAATGAATTAGAGTTTGATAATATTTACCAGAAAAGAGACTGATAAACTTTAACACTTAATCCTAACAATTAAAGAAAATAAAATTTGAATCTACTTTATCAATAAAATGAAGAATATCAACAACTAATATCTATCTTTAATTATGAAAAACCTGGAAATGTCACCCTATAACTAAGAACAAGAAGTATGCTCAGTATCACAAGGATTACTTAACTATTTTGGAAATCTTAATGAAACAGGACATTAAACACAATTAGAAGAGGAAAAAGTAGAAAAACATCACTATTGGCAGATAATGACACTGAAGCTAACTTACAAGAAACTCTTAAGAGTTGAGTAAACTAGATAGATAATAAATATTATGAAGAACAGATACAACTTTTTCACTAAAAAAAACAGAAACTAGAATTTCAGCAATTCAAAACAATACTAAGAACATAATACATTCATCATAACAAGTAAAAAAGGAATTTTGAGACCTATATAAATGACACAATTTCCTTATATATGAAACATTACAGAAATCAAAAACACAATATACTTTTTAGGAAGAATACTCCAAAGATATTAATTTATAGGCTTAATAAAATTCTAGTGGAACATTTTTATGAATTCAATAAAGTAAATTCATTTTAAATATTAAGTAGGTGACAATAATGAAAGCTTATTATTATTATTATCATTATTATTTATTTATTTTTTTTGCAGAGAGAAAAGTAAGGGAGCATTAACAGATACATAAATTCATTGTGAAGCTGCAATGGCAACAATATGGATCCAGTGGGGAAAGAACTAAAAAAAAAAAAAAAAAGTAAAAAAACATAGATTCCAATGTTAATAAAAATGAGTATGTAATAAAGATGGCACAAGAATCAGTGGGGAACAGTGCTAAGCAACTGGCTAATAATTGGGAAAAAATTAAATAAGATGCTTATCTTATACTTTACGCTACGGAATTAGAATTAAAAATACAAAATAGAACCGTAATCATTAGTAAAAGGCGAAAGATTTATACGATCTGAAGAGAAACCAGAGTATGAACCGTAATTATCAGGAAAAATGTTGATTATTTATCTGACTCCAAACTTTTAAAGTATAAGATTAAAAACAAAAGAGACAGTTACAGAAAAAAATAGGAGAATTGGCCATGCAAATATTTTAAATATTTAAATATTTTCTGACATCAACAATAGTAAAAATAATTAAGTCACATGAAAACTGAGAAAAACATTTTTGCTACACATGTCAAAACCAGTAACTTAAAATTTAAAAATCTAATAAATGTGTAAGACGTTACTAATAAAGGACATAAGAAAGCACTTTATAGAAACGGCAGATAAATATACAAAAAAGAATCTAGCTTTCTATTAACCAAATTGGTGCTGATAAAAACACACTAACCAAGCAACAAACAAAAAACCCAGAACTTTGACTGTCACATTGACAAATTTTCATGATACAGATGAGGAACATATTTAGGAAAGTACTTTCACATAATATTTGGGAGAAGTTATCAGAAGAACCTTGAGAAGTTCACAGTGTCTAATCCACAAATTCACCTTGTAAGAAAGCAATCTAAAAACACACTCCAAGATGCAGATAAAAATTTAGATTTAATGATCCTCCAGTTAACAGAAATAATGTGGTAAATAATTTCAATGTCAAATAAGGAGGAGTTGGTTATAATTTTTTTATGTACAAAGTACAACATATAAGTATTAAAAATGACAATTCATGACTCAGAACTAATAGTTAATGCTAAGTGAATAAAGCAGAATACAGACTATATAATCCAAAGTTTTATTAAAATGCAAATACAAACACATATGTACACTTTAGAGTTGCACATAAAATTGGAAGGAGGCAGAGAAAAATATTTGAAATATTTGTTTCTTAGTGGTGGTGTAAATGTATTTTAATCTCATTTGCTAAATATTTTTTTATTTCCAAATTTCTCTTCACTGAGCATGTTTCATATCTTTTATATTGGAAAATACTTTAAACTTAAAATTAATTTAAATGGGCTCAGAATGTATTCCAAGACTAGACACCAATAAAAATCACTTTTTCTATACATATGCAATTACTGTGTTCTTTCATCTTTGTATCTCATTTCTGTCAATAAAGTACATTCATTAAAGAGATAATTCATTTTATTATTTTTATTTCTGATAAACACTTTTTCCAGAATTAAAAACAAAGACAATAGATTCACTTTTAAGTAACTTATTTGATCAGTCTTATCCTAGTGATCTGATGACGTCTCTTCCTCTGTCTACTTGTAGCTAAAATTTAACTACATCGGTAATAACTGCTTTAGACCCAAGCTCAGAAATATAAAAGCTGAGAATGTTTATTTGGCCTATTTACTCAACACCGAGAAAGTCATCCACAAACAACTTTGACCAATAAAGGGAACAGTGCCTTTGTTTTTCACATTTCTTTCACCTGGAACATCAACTATGTCTAGTAGGATTCTGAAAGTAACAATGGTAAGATTTGAGTTTTTAATCAGTGCTTAAAAAAATAGCTGCAAATCAAGACATAAAATAACCTTCTAAATAAGTTTGCTGGCTCTATATTGGAGTTGAAGACACACCCCTCCAAATGTCTGCACTCACCATCTGCTATTCAATGGCAGAATCCTGCACTCAATTCTGGTGTCGTTTGGCATAGACAAGGACAATCAATGTCCAACACCATTCAGATATGTGCGCCATATCAGGAACCTTATGACACAGTCCCCAATCTCAATGAAGCACTTTCAAGCTCCACTGCACATCAATCAAATATATAGACAGTCAAGCTGATAGACAAAATCTAAGCCAAACCTAAATACCTACTGTTCAATGGATCTCTCCAGTTTGCCTGCAGCTCACCTTCTATTAAGATGATAGCTTTGGCCTAGTCTTCCATGCCAAATTAAGTCCATGGAGTCACTCTGGCAAAAAGAAGGGCCTACATCAATGTCAATAAGGACTTTCTTGCTGCCGAACCTACCATCTGTCCTCCTGCTTCCGACTTCCCTTACTTGATATGGACCTTGATGAATGGGATTCTAATGGTCCAAGATTCTAGTTTAGCCAGACTTTCCAGATGGGGTCAGTATGACTGCCCTATGGCCAAACACACAAGGAGACATAGTTGATGGAGTACCTGGAGAATGTCTTTTTGCAAATTAAATATCATAAATAAAAGAATGAATTTCTATCAGCTTTTGAGCTTCAAGTTTATGACAATTAGCGATGTGTTCAATGCTTAAAGTGAAGATGATTTTCTTCCTCAAGTTTTTTGAAAATCTGTATTTACAACATACAGATGAGCTTCATTATAATACCTTGCTATAAGAAATAAAATAAATGAACAGAGATTAAACTCAGGTCATATTAAAGTATTTACAAAGCAGTATTTAGAGAAAGATTTGAACAAATCTCAGAAGTAAGAATTTATAGTATAACATTAATGTAAAAATAAAACATTTCATTTTGTATTAGTTGCAACAATATTGGTATATTACATATTCTACATAAAAATAATAGCTTTCATATCTATTTTCCAGAAGTTATGTATACTTACAGGTTCTAAATACATAAGTAGAACTTAATATAATTTAAATACGGCACATGAATGTTTTACAGAAATTAAAGTTTCTCATCATAGAGAAAAGACTTAGGGCTGGTGATTTAGCCTGAGTTCAATCCCAAGTACCACAAATAAATAAATAAAAATAAATAAATAAAGAAAAAGGAATTAGAATGTAATAAATTAATGTTGCCTTAAATATGGTAAATAAAATTATGTTGTTATACTGACAATACTGACAAACTTTTTCAATCAGGTCAGAAAAACTGCACTTAAGACTGAGTCTAATAGAATATGAAACAAAGAGAAAATTTGAGAAAATGTTACTGGTTCAATTCAATTTAATAAGATGATACAATGACATGCCTTTATTTTTTCTTCAAAGGAAACTAAACATATTTGTAGAATCAGCAAAAATAAACAGAAAATATTATTTTAACAAAATCTAAAATATAAAATCATCTGAAAGTCTAAGCAATATAAACAATAATTAAGAAGTAAATCTTCATAAAAAGGAGAAAATGAATATGGAAATATATTATACACCATAGATTATTATACCCAGAATTATTTAGAATACTACCATTAGTACTTTATACATAGTAAGCATGTGTGTCATATTGATCAGAATTTAATTGAAATGAGAAGCACAATAGGACTTCCACAAGTAGAATTCAGATCCTTTCACGGGAAAGGATCACGGGAAAGTTTTTCATGGGAAAAACTTTCAATTAAGTTATTTTACTAGGTATGACAGTTGTCTTTGATGTTATGAATCAAGAAAAGGTCTTATTGTGTAAAGAAAAACCATGTAGAGTTCTTTAAAGAAATCACAAAGGAACAAAAGGGTAACTTTTGATTTTTAAATATCTCCAAAATTTTTTATTATTCTTTGGTCAACTAAGATAATGCTATAGAAATCCTGCATAAAACTTGAATTTACAATGTCCTGGCCTAATCATCTGGCTAATCTTTTTGAGTTTTCCTGAAACATACTTCCATCCCATTTTCTATGGGAATTCTCCCACTGATGAACACAGAGAATGAGAATTTGGCCTGTGCTCTATAGGCACCATTGAAATGTGGCCACCTGAGGCATGTAGGGAGGGCATCCAGCTGGCACACCACATGTTGCCCTGGAGTTGTCTGCAATGAGAGGGATATTCTGGCTAAGAATACCTGGGCAATCTCTGTAAGTATTCTGATTATGAAAAGGATTTTAGCATCATCATTTTCTCATGAGAGCAATATGGGGGGCAAGGGAGGGAGGGAGAGAGAAGAGAAGAGAAGAGAACAGAAGAGAAGAGAAGAGAAGAGAAGAGAAGAGAAGAGAAGAGAAGAGAAGAGAAGAGAAGAGAAGAGAAGAGAAAAAAGAAAAGTGGGAAACCTCTTACAAGAAAAATCGAAGAGCTCTATGAAACAGAAAATCTGGCCATTGATACCAGATTTTCAGTATCATCCATATCACTGGGAGAAATTTTTGAGAACTCTAGATATTTTTAATTGTTTTTAAAGCACATTAGAGACTTCACCATAAACTAAAATGAAATGAATTCTATAAAACAAAGGATGCAAGAGCACAGTATGAAAATTTGTTTATAGCGCATAATGTAATATAAAAATAAATTAAATTCACATAATACTCATTTAAGAAATCTGTTGTTTTTATTTTTATTTTATACAACTTGTGAAAAAGAAAATCTATGCATTTGAACTGTAATGCCAATGAAACAATTTTGTCAATTTTGAGTGTATTTTTTCAAAACACCATACGTGATTAGAACACATAATACACTAGTATTTTTGCCAATTGTTGTTTTTAAACTAAAGCTGTCTTTGAATTACATAAGAACAAAATCAGGATTTCAAAATCAGCAACATATTTAGGGGTGAATTTTAAAATAAGCCCTTGATTGTTAGACTAACTTTGAGCACCAGAAACATTTTTGTGAAATTCCACTGTGATAAATAGGGTATCTAGGAAACACTCGTGGTGAAAAGCAGCACATGCATTATTTTTAGTTAAGTTTTCATTAAGGGCTTTTTGTTTGGAGTTCTGGTGATATTTACAATACAATATGAGTATACATTTTAAGGGATTTATGATGTCACCAAATGCTAAGAACAATTACAGCTGGGTTTTACATTTGTGTTTATATGTTATTTTGCGTATAGATTCCAAAAATCAACTAAGAGAAAACTTGATAAAAGAAAAAAAAATC